TCACTCATTTCAAACAATTTATGGATGATCAGTGGCAAAAACGAGCAAAAATAATGAAAGCATGCAATGAAAGCTCATTGAGACAAACCGGCTTGGACTTCCTACTCATTTCTGTGTCTCTTTAAGATGGGGGTCTGATACAAATTAGCCACTGGGAAAAAAGTCATCTGGTCATAAAATACAGTACAGGGTCACTTTTATGTAAGTTTGCCAAAAGGGACATAAACCAGGACAATTTCAAACTGTGACACAGGATAGAAGTATATTAAAAAAATCTTTGTTCCTCCTCCATTGTGCTGTCATGTTGCTCAGCTTTATAGATGTTCTGAGCACCAGCTCTGGCCTCTTCGCTTCCACCTGGTCTACCTAATTAATTAAGCAAGGAAGTTACCTCAAATTTTTGTACTATTTGTTTTTATTATCATGCACTTCTTTTGATGTTCCAGGAGTTAACCTCTTAATCCACAGACTCTGTGTGTTGTGTTCTGAACATTTTGGGATGTCTGGATAATTTGGATAATTGGTCAGGATGTTGCTGTCGCTCATGTTAAACTTTATGCTAGGACTTCAAGTTCAAAGATCAGTATGAAGGTAAAATACTTCATATAAAGCCTTTTTAAAACTCTACACTCGTGATTATGCAATACCCAGTTATTCCAGTTTCTCACGGTGGTAAATTGCACTATTTGTATTTTCTTGCAAGGAAATTACTCTTAAACCTCTTTATCTTTGCCAGCTTCTAATAAAATACAAATTTCTGTTGAAGTTACATCAAGAGAAAGCATATTTTAAAGATCAAAAAAAAGGTATAGCAATTATCTCCTCCAAACTGCTTGCACACAATTTTCTGTGCAGTATGTTATCACACACAGAAACACCAACATTGTGCCCTACAGATGCTCAACTGCAAATACCACAATTCTTTTTTGGAGAGAATGATCAAGAATGAGGTTAATTCTGACATGAAGAAACATGGTTGGAACCTTTCTTTCCTAACTATACTACTCAATCCGAGCAGGTCAGTGACAAAGAACTGAAGGAGTATCTAAAAAAGAAACAGAACTTTATGCACAGATTCTACAAAGGAAGCCAAGAAGAGCACAAAGATATAAAGCAGTTTTTAATACTGATGCAATAGGTTAAAATTGTATCAGGTACTCCAATAGCTCAGTTAATAGCACTGGCTAAGGTGTAATATACCACAGTGATTATTTCAAACTTATGAAAAACCTGATTTACATGGGTGCACAAAAATACATGTCCATAAAGCCACAGGTGGAATATACCCATATACATACAGATATGCATATACACCTATGTGTATCATACACCTCCAACACTGGTTTTATCATTATTGTCCTGATATCAGAAATCTGCAACTGCCATTAAATGGAAATAAACTGCAGCAAAGAGCAGCACTCAAGCTCTTTAAAAGGGCACTGTCAACCCTCTCAAGTACAAAATACCCTTTTTGAATTAGCACACTGTTTTTTACTTAATACTAGGCAAAGAATCAGTCTGAATTTCAGTCCAGCACTGCATCCATCCATAGTGAGTGCCTAATTTCTGTATTTCTCTCCTCTGCACAATATGCAAGTCCTGTTGCCCTGGGGAGTCAAAGTGAGTCTATAAGAGGGGCCATGTGCCATTTAGAAAGTATAACAGCAGCGAAGAAAAAAAAAGCCATAGTAATTTGGAAGATGGTTAATCAAACCCATTCTGATTCAATAAACTCAATCAGTTAAGGGAGCAACGTTACCATACAAGAATATCGAAAGGAGTTATACAAAGCTTGTTACTACCCATGAGCTATCTGAAATATCATAGCTTGCAAAAAAAAAAAAAATCACATTACAGTCAGTGCATAAAATCAGCCTTTATAGCACTATCTATGATAAACACTCAAACAGATGGCTATAAACTTTGAAGGCTAGGTTCATGGGTGATAATGACTAAAATTACTGTTGCTATTTAATCTGAGCAAAGACATCCATTAAAAAATGAAAAAATCTGCTCGATTTCAGAAACGAACCCTTCATTGTTCAATTTCAGAACTTTTATTAAAATCCAACAGGTAATTCATATAGGAACACCTTCAAATAGACACATTCACTGTGCACACCTACGTCTTAAGTGACCTATTTATTCATCGTAACAAAGGTAATTCAATGACAAATTCAAGATGATCTGCATAAAAGCTTCCCCTGGAACAGGCTTATCCCATTTGAGCTGAGCTGGGTATGTAGAATCAACTGCCCTCCCCACCCCCTGTTATCCAGCTCTCAGCTGAAAGATTACATACCCATGCCAAACCTTCTTATTGAATGTCTTCGCATTTACAGTAGATCACTCTACTCTTAAATGCTGCAAGTTTTGCCAAATGAATGAAATGCTCTTTTAAACTGAGATCACAAAAATCTGATTTTGCCAGTGACTAGGAACAGCTTTGAATGATGTTTTATCTCTCTGGCCCATTAGTCTGATGTGATGAATGGCAAAATGTGACCTTTTCTTAAAACGTACACAAAATAGTTTGTTGAAGTATCAGAATTCTGCAAAGTAATCATGGTTTCGAAATCTTTTCTGAAAAGAGGTAAGAAATATGACAAAATCTAAGGAAAGTAAAAAAAAAAAGCCAAGTACCCTTCACAGATTCTAGAACTGAAAAGCTACATGCAATCCAAACTTCAATTAACCATAAATTTTCCCCAGTTCTAATCACCCTACTATGTGATGTAATTCTTTAAAACACATATTGCACTTTTTGCAAATAGAATCATTTATCTGCATCAGCATCTGAACAGAACATTCAGTTTTAACTATCAATTAGTCCAGAATTAGCATTTGCCACTTACTTTCCAAGAAAAATGGTCAAAGACAAGGTACATTCATATTAAAACAGACCACAATTCCTACATCTGCATCAACAGCTTTAGGGCTCACTCAAAACTGGCAAAACAATTCTGTCTGCATCCACTCTGGATACTGTTAAATAGAGCAGCCAGGCAGAACAGACACTGCATAAAGGCCTTGAATACCTGTACCAGGAATCACACAAAGATTATAAAATTAAGCTGTTCCCTGCCTCCAATAGGTGGGTTTTGATACTAAAACCTGATCTCATCTACCCCTAGGAAGAAAGAAAACTACCCTAAAGCACCAACAACTGCCTTTTCCCTGATACCTGCAGAAGATTATGGTTCTCTCTCATCTGGAGTTACAAATTCTTCCAAGCATAAACACTAATGGTCATCTTATTTACCCTGAATAGGATGTATTGATAGCCAGGATCATAAGAAAGTTACACTATAACTACTAGTTTCTTGTACAGCACAAGTTGAATGCAGCTGGGATACATGAAGCATCTACTGAAGCCAACAGAACTCTACAAGTCAAGGGGACACAACAGAAGTAGTGCACCTGGTACACTAATGGAAAGAACCTTTGGCTTTGTGGACTGCAGGAGACAAACTCCATTCAAATCATTTAACTTCTTTTAGAAGAGAAGAGATATATTAGCTGTGGCTAGATGCTTAATAGAGTCACCTTCCCCTGAAAATGGAAGGGACAAAATAGATACCTGAAGTGAAGGATTAAGACGAGTGTTTTCCAGCCAAGATGGACAAGTAGCCCATAACCAAACTCCCTTGAAGCTGAATGCATTAGCTTTATCATTTGAACTCGTAACTGAAGTAACCTGGATACATCTGCACTTCAGTCAATACACAGAAACAGTGGCTCAGCACAGGTGCAACACCACCTTGGCCAGGTCCTGCAGGTCCTTGGTCTGTCTCCTGGTACCTTCAGCTATGGCATAAAGTCTCTTTCTCCACTTCATTGTCTCTGAATTAAAATTTACCCTTCACACAGTAGTTTCTAAGAATTATTTTCTCTCTCAAATGAAGCCTAAAATCTCAACTTCAATGCAGCACATAAGCTGAGTTTTCCCCAATTCCACCAAGAACAAAAATGCCAACTTCATTGCCTCCGTGCCAAATCCTGTCAATGCAAGCAGGAATTATGTTTTCTTTCCAAACACAATTATCCCCTTGTGGCTGTACATTACATGCCATCCATCAATGACTCATAGTCTTTTGCATCCCTCTTTAATGTATTTCATTTTTCAGATCACTTTTCAAGACCCTCTCCTTGCTGGTAACTGTCATCCACAGGGAGCAGAATTCCCTCAAGTGTAGTATCATTAAAAACAAAAGCATAATCATTTGGATGATAAAGATTAATGGAAACGTGGTACAATTGGTCCCCAGACAGTCATTCCAGTTTAATCTATCTCATATTTATGATTTGAAATTCATTTTGATGTGCCTCCCATTACAGTAATTTTTCATCCTATTTCTTTAGTTCACATATTAATATAATTGTTATAATCTTTGTTCAAAAACTGCTTTGACAAATTACATGCTTTGCTGAAATAATCAGCCCTCCAAACTTGAATATATTCAACTTAGCTTGGTATTTTAGGTATTCTCTACTCATTTAACATAGTTTTCTTAACATATAATTGTTAATATTGACTATACCTGAACCTTTTTGGGGATGTCTGCAATCCTTACAACTCACAAATCAAGCTTGTTTTGTCAGTTAATTAATTAATCTGTTATTTAACCTCCTTTTAGCAAGAAATAGCTAATTCCCATTAGCAAGAAACTTGTTCTTTTTTTCCCTTGTTATTTCTGGTGTATTTATTGAACCTTCTCTCCTTTTACCATCCCATCAAAATCATTTTGATTGAACAATTAAATTTAGAAAGCCAATGAGTTAAGTAATTTTCTTCCTCTCAGTAACGTGGCTTTTAAGGACTCCTTTTCCCCTGTGCACGTGGCTTGTGCAAGAGTATGCAGCTGTATATACACCTTCACATAAGCACACACATCCCACTGCCAAATCCTCCCAAATCTGTAATTTCAGTTTCATCAGAAGCGAGGGCTGAAAATGAAACATATACTGTAATTACTATACATTTAATAGTATTTTCCTACCTTTTTTAAGCCAGCAAATCCTTCTGATTCCAGGAAGAAAAATGCAAAAGGCATCAACACAAACAAACACAGATTTGAAAAAAGAGAAGCAAGATTCCACAAACCTGGAACAAACAAGAATTTTACGTGGTAAGTTTCAAAGCTTTAGAAGTTAAAGATATTACATTTTCCTTCCTTACATCAACATTGTAACATACATACCTAACAGAAGCCAAGTTTTTACAGATACAGTTATTTACAGGTGTGCTGGTTTGAGCTGGAGTAGAGTTAACTTTCTTCACAGAGGCTAATATGAGGCTATGTTTGGGTTTTGTGCAGAACACAGAGTTGATAATGCAGAGATGTTTTTGTTATTGCTGAGCAGAGCTCACACAGAGCCAAGGCCTTTGCTGCTTTTGGTGCTGCCACACTGGCACGGAACTTGGGGGTGCATGGGAGATTGGAAGGAGACACAGCTGGGCTAGGAGACCCAAACCGACCAAAGGGATATTCCATACCATAGGACATCATGCTCAGTATATAAGGTGGGAGGAAGAAGGAGGAAGGGGGGACATCTGGAGAGATGGTGTTTGTCTTCCCAAGGAACCGTTACAAGAGATGGGCCCTGCTCTCCTGGAGATGGATAAACACCTCCTGTCTGTGGGCAGCAGTGAATTAATTCCTTGATTTGCTTTGCTTGTGTGTGCAGCTTTTGCTTTCTCTATTAAACTGTTTTTATCTCAACCCATGAGTTTTTGTAGCTTTTACCCTTCTGATTCGCTCCCCCATCCCATGGGTGGGGGAGTGAGTGAGTGAGTGGCTGCATCGTGGTTCTTGGCTGCTGCCTGGGGTTAAACCACAACAACAGGTCATCGCTGAAAAATACCCATTTCTCTGCACAATGATCTTCAGACAAAAATTGGATACCAACTTACACAGCAGCAAATGTCTGAAACCTTAGAAGACAGACTGCTGGCTCAGGTGGACTAATTCCACAGTATCCCACTGAAGGCTCTTTAGAGAGCCATTTTAGAAGTTTTCAGGACAAAAGTATTTTATTACGATCAGTGAATCTCAGAAAATTTGGTTCTGTGTACTCACTTCCCCATTTTTTCAAGAGAAACCTGGACAAACCATGGATTTTAACATGAGCACTACAAAAATGCCATTGTCACCTCCAAACCAGAAGATACCATGGCAACAGCACCAACAGCCTCCCACAAAGGATAACTGGCTCAGCAGGCAAGAGGAGAGCAGTAGATGTTGTTTATCTCAACTTTAGTAGGGCTTTCAACATTGTCTCCCCTAAATCTCCTCACAGCCTAATTAATGAAGCATGGGCTAGGAAAGGAGGCTCTGAGCTGGACTGAACATTGCCTCAGCTTCTGGGCTCCCAGGGCTGTGACCAGGCTGAAGACAGTCACCAGTGCTGTATATACCCCAGGAGGCTGATGGTCATTAGTGACTTGGGTGATAGGAGAGAGAATGTCCCCAGCAAGTGTGTTCAAGAGATAACAGGGGGAAGAGCAGTGCCACTCAGATGAACCTCAACAGGCTAGACAAACAGACAGAGAGCAAAGCAGAGTGGACTCAGGGAGATTTTATTAACGTATATAAATACGTGATGAGGGAGAAGGAAAACAGTCAGATCTTCACAGTGGTATCCAGCGAACAAAGCAGAGGCAATAAGCACAAATTGAAAAAAACAAAGTCTACTCAGTCATAACAGGCAAGAAAAAAAACAAACTAGAAATCCCAAGCATTTTCCACTCTGAGTGTACTCAAACACTGCAGTAGGTTGCCCACAGGTTTGGTAATCTCCATCCTTCAACATATTCAAACCTGAATGGGCAGTGCCTTGAACAGCCTTCTCTGACTGATCCTGCTTGCAGCAGGTTATTTCCAGATGTCCTTCCAACCTCAACTGCACCGTGATCTACATGAAAAATTAACAACTGACTAAAACTAGGACATCTGTAAGACACATGTGACATCTGCTGGAAGGGAAAAGGTTTAGAAAACAACCTGAAGTGGTAGCTGATCTCCATTAAGGTATCTGCTCTATTAAGATTTTCTAAGCTGAACACTTTCTGAACAGACAGCTTCTGGTGCCTAAACGTGAACCCATCATCAATCATCCTCTTAGAAGCTGTGCAGGATGTAGTGTTTCTTCTTTATAAAAGCCAAAGCTTACCTGCAGTTTAGTAGCTAACAAGTCTAACTACTGTCACGTGTTCTGAATCCTAAAAAAAAAAGCTTTTACTTTGTAAAGGAAAACAGGCTTAGTCCCACACCTTCCCCAAAGCACACATTTCCACAGTTCTGCAGGGCTATGTTACAACACTTGAAACTCAAGAAAATAATACCCCATGATAAGAAAATTTAAACTAACACCTTCCTTTGTTTCTTTCTTCCCAGGTACAGACTTGTTCCTTTTCTTCTTTGAAACTGACCATTTTTAAAAGAATAGGGAAGGAAAGAGACATTCACTACTGGATGCTTAGAGAATTCATTGAGAGAAATTTCTGTATTTAGTTGCAAATGTAAAATAGCACTGACCTTCACCTATACCCTCTGGAAAAATGCTTTCACTATGTACTTTTTTGCCTTAAATAAGACTATTTAAATTTGAAGGAGAAATAAAAATGAGAGGGAAGGAGCAGGCCAAGAGAAGGACTACAGCACCAGGACACCAGGAACCAAACTTAGCCAAATACACTACAGAAAACAAAACAAGAAAATTCCAAAAGATGCGTGAAATATAACACTCAATTGCTAAAGAAAACAGACTGTCTAAAGGTGGCTAAACTCCAGCTAACAAAGAGGGGGATTTTTCCTTTAGAATTTGCTCAGCCAGGAAGCTCCTGTTACCATTCCAAAAACATTCAGGCATAGCAACATCAGCAAGAATGTCATTAGCAGCCCCTACGAGGGGACATTAACCCAAACACTTAGCTTTTTTTCCCCAAAAAAAAGTAAGACACCAGAGTTAAAGCAGAAATGCTGCTAGATGGGGGTGGGAGCCTTATTTCAGCAGTTTTCTCTAACTGAAGACAGTGCATTCAGTTACCTAATGCAAAGCTCAATACCTGCTTGTCGTATTTTCAGCAGCTCTATTACATATATATCTTACAATATATAACAGTGCTTAGGAGCTGCATAGTAGATAGAGCATTTTAAGGGAGAGGAGAGTGATACACATCCAGGGTGATTTTTAAGAAGTTAAAAATGCAGAAATTTACACATTAGCAGCCGACAGGAACCACACTTACAGAACATAAAGCTACAATATGCACATAAAGCTATGAGAGGCAAGAACAGTGCTGTTCTGCTGCTGACAGACACATGCACTTTGTCCTCAAAGTAAGGAACATACAGGGCCCTCCATATTTCTTATCCTAATTTGACATATTTCTTATCCTAACTTGATAGTTCAGAAATCAAATTAAAATAGACCGAGAAAAATAATTATTTCCTACTACACTGACTGCATCATAACATCACGAGAGACTCACAGATCAGATACAGAAAAGCTTTAAGAGGTCTATTAGAATATTTCATTCTTTTTCTTTGCATTTGTAGTGACCTAAGAATGTCCCCCATAAAACAAGTTAATAAAACACAAAAATTAAAAATCTCTCAGTCTTTGGCAAACAGATCAGACCCTGAGCAATTTCCCATCTTCCTTATTCCTGGCAGTTTCATTACATTTTACCCCCACCTGGTGGCTGTACCCGACAGCAGCACAAGTGAACACCAGCAGGCAGAACTGTTCTGGGTTTAGTTCAGCATGTGTTAGTTAGGTAGGAGTGTTTATACACGATCCAGATTTGGCCTTTTTCCTGGTTTCAAAAATCTGAGGCATATCTTTTCTGCTTTTCAATATGCCACAACTAATGCAACAACCTACAGTATAAAACCCCTGAGTGCCAAGTTCGAATACTTCACATTACACCTGCAATTGATAAATCTAGCCAAAAAAAACCCCCAACAAATCAAGTATTTTGAAGCAAAACAAATGTTTCCATTTGATAACATTTGCAAAGCAGAACACAAGACACATGTAAAGGTTTTTCCAGACAGTATTATGGAGATATGAGCACTTTCTGCATTCGAGTGCTTAGGACAGGACTGAGCTTTTCAAACTCGCACAGGCACTTCACACTAACTGTGCTGAGGTCCTGACACACCAGTTTTGGAAGTGTGCAAAGCCGGGGAGAGCCACAAGAGGGAGCTGTGCCCCAGGGAACCATCCCCAGCAGCCTGAGCCAGAGCTCAGACCCCAAACCCACCCATGTTCCTGGAGTCTAACACTAAGTTTACCACTCCTACCAACCCCCAGTGCAAGCTCTGCAATACACGCATACACCTGGAAACACCCAGATGCTGAACTGACTTCCTTCCTGACCGCAGCTGTTGGATTTCCAAAATATAAGTTATACTGGAGTGTACTCCATAAAGTGGTACTTTGCAAAGATTATCACATTAAAATCACAAGATGGGCACTGGAAAATTCAAACTCCTTCCTATCGGACAGCTCCTTACTCCAGCAGCTTTCTTATTAACCCAAGTTTTCTGAATTACTGTAGCAACTCTGACAGAATGAAAATTCCTGAATTGGTTTTCAGTCTCTGAAATATTTTGCCCTTTCTCCAAGGCCAATTCAGACACTGAAGGAATTATTTTTTTCCTTTTTTTTTTTTACTTTGGTCATGTTTAGGAGTCAAAACTATAAATGTCTGATCAGCTAAGTCCATGTGAAAAACAAGAACTAAGGTTTTTTCCATCCCATGTAGCAGACATATCAAACTAGCAATGCCCCATGTGTGACAAAAAAAGATTACAGAAAACTCAACTAGAAAGAACCTCTGAAGTTGCATAGTCTGATCTGCTCTTAACACAGCTAAACTGCAGGTGGGAAGAGGTTGCTCAGGGTTTTAGCCACATGAGTTTTGAAAAACTTCCAAGATCCCCTTCTACTGTCTCTGGACAACCTTTTCCTTGTTCAACCACCCCCACTGGTAGGAATTGTTCCTTTATGTCCTGCAAACACTAATTCTCACCTCTCACTTCACAAAAACACATCCCTGCAAGTTAGGGATCTGGAAATTCATGAATTTGCTATCTATGAGTACTATTAGACACTTAGCAAAAAGCATTTTCCAGAGAAAAACCCTTCTAAAGTCCAAATACTATCGTTTCACAAGAGCAAAAAAGAACACAGTTAACCTGTAAATTATTTGTCCAGATTAAATTGTTTCACATAATGAACATCCTTTCTCCAGCCAAGTCTACCAAAGAATGTCCTGTTTTCACCAGTTATTTTATTGCACCTCTTTATCATATGATACACTTACACTCTGTAATTTTCCTTGTTTACAAATAAATCACTAACAGCTAAATTTACCTATCTAATCCACTATGCTCATTCCTAGCCAGTTTCTTAAAACTTGTTTTTATTTTGAGAATAAATATATAGGTATCTTCAGAAAGAGAAAGGCATATGAATCTTGCATTAACACACAAGGAAGAAGTTTGAACAGCACATTTCAAAGTTAGCTTCTAGTAGCTCTTATTTACATTAATAGTCAAAGCAGTGGATTTGGTTGAATTCCATTAAGTCTGCATAATTCTTTAGAAACAAAAACACAAAACAAAACAGTTAAGGAACTTTTGTGACGTATCACACAGCAGCAAAACCAACTAGCCAACAGCATTTTAACAATTTGATTAGCATATTAAATGAAAATGGAGTTATCAGTTTGAAAATGAGAACATATCTGTGCACGTATAATGACATCCATTTTAATTACATTATGCTGGGTACTAACCATGAATTAGTGAGCCATTTAACCACTGAATATAGTAGTTTTGTGGAAAAGAAAGCAGGATCTCATTGCTGATTATTGAGAAAGGTAGAAGCAGGACTGCACCAGCTGAAACTGCTAGAGTGAAGGTGCTCAAGAACAGCCTGAAATTTAAAGAAATGTACCACTGTTATCACCAACATGCTCTGAACAGGGGGAAAAAAAAAAGTAGTTAGCCTATTTGTTTATCAGTGTCTGAAGGCAACACATTCTTACATTGTAAATGGGCAGGAGATACTGAGATTACCACAACATTTCACTTCCAAAAAGAAAATTTAAAATACCAAATAGTTTACAAAATCCAGTAGAAATAATTAGTTTTTATCACCTACCACAATTATACGCTTGGGACCTGTATGCATTCAGTTCCAATGTTACACAAAGGTTAAATTACTGGAGTTCATGAAATATCTTTTCGTAACACTCTTAAATTTTCATTTCCCACATACACAAGGAAAAAAAATTCGATTTCTATATCCTTAGTACCCAGTTTAAAAGCAGAGCAGCTTTCTCATGTCTAAAGACTGAGTACAATTATACATGAATATTCTAAGACAAAACTGAAAAAAATTTGCTTTCCTCTCACAAAGTAGCTATTGGAGTTATCTTCTCACAGCTGTAAAGTCAAAGCACAGAAATTGTCAGAATTATTTAATATATTTAAGCTTACTCTTTATAGACCCCAAATACAACTTCTACCAAAGGCCATCTCGTGGCACTCAAATGAACTGTGTTCATAAAAAAAAGACCAACAAAAACATTCTCACAGAACTAATCCAATGCTAAAGTTATAAATCATTCCAAAACTGCAGGACAAAAAGGATAAACAGATCATCCCTGCAAGAGCAACATCAGTAAGCTGCTTACAGAAATCATACTTTCCCTTAAGAGCCTACAAATGTATTTTTCGTTCACACAAAGCTTCATTTTATTTTTTAAGATATTTTTGTTGGTTTTGTTGTTGGTTTCTGAAATATTTTTTTCTAACTATTCTAAGCCAGAATTGTGGAATGTAACACACTACAGCAAGGTGTAGAGCAGTTTGGCTTTGTTTTCTCCCCCCTCCCCATCCACACGTCTCTAAGTCCTGACAATTATGCCACGTGAAGAAAAATCATAGAAAAGTTATTGCTTTTTGGAAAATAACACACACACTTAAGGAACCAGAAAGCTTAGGCTGAAAGAAAAAAAAAAAGCAGTTTATACTTATAATACTTTTAATGAAAGGGTGTTACTCTGATGGAAGAATAATTTATATCTGTTGTATTTTAAAGCTAAACTAGCAAACAGATGCAGGGGGATAACAGTTAAAAAGATGAATTTTACCCTTCAAATTCTAAAAAACTCAGAACCACAGGTAGACCACAGGTGGTATGAAAATCATTCAATCTAGAAGAGCCTTCACTGTAGTCTTAAAAGCACAGGAAAGATCTACTTGAGAGGGAAGAGCTTCATAGCATTTGTAGCTACGTATTGTTCTCTAGACGTGAAGGAGACCTTACAGCAGGTGTTTAGAATTTATAAGTAGTATGGTTATCAGACACTACTGGGAGAAGTGCACTCAAGATTTACATCACCTTTGTGTATCTTTCAAGTTTGCCAACAATGCACACCTAGAAGTGAACAGCTTGCAATGTACTCGGCACCTTCCCAGGGTACAAGACAAATCAATAAAGCACTCCCTGAGCTCTCCTTCCAAGAGGATGACAGTACCACCATGGAAGAGCAAAGAACATTGGAATATGCAAGTAGCAAGTTCACACAGTGCAGCAAATCATGTAATTGAGAGGGCAGCAACAGCTCACAGGTGTTCTGTAAATCTTGAGGTGTATTTAAACAGGAGATATTAATATCAAGCTTTACAAAGGAACAGGATGAGGAGAGAGCTGCTGGCAGACCAGCATGTCTGGCAAGTGTTTGTCTTCCACTTGCTATTCTTTTTTAAGCTTTTTCACAAGGCAAGTGTTTGTCTTCCACTTGCTATTATTTTTTAAGTTTTTTCACAGTGATCAGATACAGATGTCTACTTCAGAGGGAGCTAACTTTCTTCCCAGGACCTGCTACCCTCCTAGACAGGGCATCCATCAACTGCAGTGGGAACTTAAACCACCTACATTTTAGAGACCTAAACTTAGATGCAGGTCTTGCACCGAATTCTACCTCTGGCATCAGGTCCACATGCAATATTCTGGCCAACCTTATGCCTATCAGAAAAACCACAGGAGAAAAAAGCCCTAGACCAAACTTTCATAACACCTTCCATAACATTAGGTGCCACTAGATCAAACCTTTTTCAGCTGCCCTCTAGCAATCTCTTTGCTGTGACATTTAAAATGGACTGTTATTTATTTGGAAGCATGCAAGATTCCCTCTTAACTATACATTCAGAAGGAAAAGTTCTGCAAAAAAGAGCTATACATACGATATTCTGTTAACGATGGCATCTTCATCCTCTTGCTCATCTGAAAATTAAATTACAGCAGGTTATACTCAATACTTACTTGTCTTTCCTTAGGCTAAAATGTATATACAAATGAATAATCTGAATTTACAGTTAAAATTTAGATGTACTGATACAATTTATTAGCATCAGTATTTTAAGTAGGTTCCTTCCAAAAATGAATACTCTCACTTTTTTGGGGGGGGGCTCGTCAAACTCTTTTCAATTAATGTCATGACAAAGTTATTTTACTCAAATATGCAGATCAAAACTTCTTGGAAACATCTTCCCAAGGGCTCTATGGCAAACAGGCTTTCTAACTACCACTACCAAGGCTGCTGCCAGAAACTCTCCCCCCTCAGGCATCTCTGAAACAATGGATATCAGGCAAGCTACAGGGAAGTCTTACAGCCCATACTAACTAGTACTAGAAATACCTAAATAGATGTTTCATTTTCAGTATTAATGTATTTTTAAAACAAGAAAGCATACCCAGAACACTAGTGATGACTACTCACTTGCTTCCCCTTAGTCACCACTCCTCCCAGCCACTGGGGATTAGGGGGGAGAGGGGGAAGGAGAGGTATTGCTATTGTATTTGGTTTGGATTTAAGATACCATGACTTCCCTTCTGATACTGCACATTTTAGACCATTTTTGTTCACTTATTCCTCACTCAATACTCCCAACTTTTTGAAATACCAGCGTTTAACTCAGATCAATCACTAACACATCCTTCAATTATTCTTTATACCCTTCTCTACACACATCAGTACACAACTGTAGGCGTTTCCAAATTTGAAATAACTTTACACTCAGTTTTCTGAGGTTTCTTGGGTTTTCCATAAGAGGTGAATCAAATTTATTTTAAAATCTAAGAATAAATAAAGTCAGGTGTTTCAAGTTCTTGAGAGTCATGCATACACTTGAAATAAACACAGACACTGACATAGTGTTTTGAAATTCTTCTGTGAAAGCACATAGGGTTGTTGGGGTTTTTTATGGGAATCTCATGGTGTTTTGAGAGACTAAGCCAAGGTCTCTTATGAATCATTTTGGCTAAAGAACTTGTTGCAAAAACAGCAAACAATTTGTCCTGAAAGAGATCCAGATGTGTTAACTTTTCCCACACGTCGCATCAAGAATATCCTAGCAGGCTATAAAGTTTGCCTAACTAAATGTACACAAAACTTTCATAAAGTCAGGACAGCTGCAGAGCAGTTCCTCTCCCCAGCTGATTAGACAAACTACCAAAAAAGGTAGCAAAAGTGTCTTTGCATACAACAGTATTTGCCAAACCAGTTGCCCCTTCCTGTTCTTTATCTCCAAATGGTAGCAGCTTTTTGTATCCAGAATACACATCAGGATCACAGGATAGTATCCCTCTTACTTCCTATGTTTAAAGAAATGCACATTTTTAAGGTAATACATTTCTGAAGGAGTTTACTTTTTAAAACATGAATCCACCAATGACAGCAGCTCTACCATAGTACAGGTCACTCCAGCTCAATAATAGTTCCCATTAAAGTTCAAAGTGCCAAGATGATCACACACATGAACGTTTCTACAGTATGACTGACTATTCTCAAGCACCAATGTCCCATATAAGCTGTCAAGAATCAAAGATTCTGCCATTTCATACAAATTTTCATGCTATTTGCCTTCAGAAAAAAAAAATGTAGAAAATCACAGGGCTTCCTACAGCCTAGTTTCAGACAGTATTTCTAAAGGAAAAAGAAATAAGAGTCTTATCTCAAGAGGTAAAACTTCAGTGGTGAACTCATAAGGAACAGATTAAGAACAATGAAATAACTGTACCTAAGAAAAGCAGGATTTTTAGAAGAAATATGTTATTTCCCTTCTGCATCACTGGCAACCTTGCACATTACCAGCTAAAGCTCCAAAGTTGATTTTGGTGCTAAAACACAGCTGAAGACAGTTGTGGAAAAGCTGATGCGAAAGGAGAACAACAAGATCTAAAGGCAAGGGAGGCAGAAGCAGCTACTTGCAATTAACCCCTTTCTTCCCTCTCAAAACAGTTATGCTTTAGGCTGGCACAGAGCCACAACAGAACAAGTGACTGTGGCACTCCTCGTCCAGCCACTCTCCCTCAGTCACAAAGAGACAGAATCAGCAGTTGCTGATCCTGTTCTGAGACGCTTCAGTGCACTCCTTGCCTTGGTTAGGTGTATCAGAAGGCATAATGAAGGGCCTGAGAAACACCAGAACAGGCGCAAAGGAGGTTCTGGGAACTCATGGCTCAGGGACAAAAGGAGCAGAGAGAGGGCAAGACAGCAGCATGAAGAATTAGGTCAGTCCAGGCTGCCATGAACAGCAGCCTGACAAACACTTGTGGTCAAAAACCTAGCTCTTCCACTTTCCTTGTAAAGACAGAGAGACAAAAAAATCTATTTATTTGAAAAACAAAACTACTTTTGGATATATTAAAAGCTCTATGCTTACCTGCTTTCCTTTTGTATCTCGTGATTATGAAGTAGGAAACAATGTAGAGAACAGCAAACAGGAGAAAACAGATCTGGGGAAAAAAATATTGCATTTATTAGGTTGTGAAGAAATGCCTGAAATACAATAAACAGAAAATCCAGTACCAAAAACATAAAAGTGATTTCAGATGAACAAGAGTATCCTATGTAAATGTCAAAAATTTAATGTTATGTTTATACCTTATTAGTAGAAAGTTAAATCCCCAAGAACAGTTTATAGAGTACCAGGTACTGGATCAACTACATGGCCAGCAAGTTTTACTCTAAACTTAAGAAAAAAACCCTTATTCACAGCATGATTGGGGGGGGGGGGAATGGGGATTGTTTTTTGAAGTTTGAATCCACTTCAGGTATATAAGTTATCAGACTTACATTCCCTTCACATGTCACCCAAGGTTAACTATTTTATACAATGGGCTCTTGGGGATCCATTTCAGTGTAAGCAGTCAACATGTGCGGAAAGGAACAAACACGTTTACTATTTCCATCATGTCCTGAAGCAAACAAATTCCAGATGACAACACACACAAGAGAGACTCCTCTGCCTACAGAAGATGTCCACACATGAGCTCGTCAAACACAGTGGGTTCTTTAAAATCAGAAGCCAAGGGCACAATTTCCCTCCCCATAAGGCTGGTGGTTTATTTAGGCCAGATGTACCTTGAACCCAGAGTGACCTGAATCAAATTGTTTCCAAGATTTAGCACTAGAATGTCAATACGATAAGGTAAGACCAAAACACCCACAAATATGTTAGAAATCCTGGAAGAAAGGAATTGAACAGCAGTGCAGTTTTAACCCTCCAAGTCTTTGTGGAGGAGGAAAAAAAAAAAACCAAGCATTTTATTTCCTCCTGAATAGGGCATCAGTGGCTCAACACTGCTTCCTTAATCTTGTGTGTTGATCCCTATTAAAAACATGAGTCAGTCAGAAATGCAGTGAGAAGGAAACATGCCATTCTGTGACACTGTGGCCCTTCACCTTCACTAGCACCTGCACAGTGACCCACACGAGGTACCAACAGCCTGTCCTGCTTTCCATTCCCTGGCAGGAAACAGATTCTCTGCAACCACAGGCTGAGGAGCTGCTCAAAATAGCCCAAACTGTGATGATCCTTTGGCTCGTGTGCAGTATTAGTACACATCTAATAACACAGCAGTCAACCCACTGAATCAGGCAAAACTGTGTAGTTTTTACTATGAAAGTGAGTTTGTCCTACTACCTGCACCAGGTTTTGCTTTTTAATTGGCCCTGCCTGGATCTGCAGCTCATAATATTAGCACTGTAAATGTGTTCTACTTCAGTCTGAGCTTTCATGCCCTTTGTGATCTGAAACTGCAAAATTACTTCACTGGGCAACAGTTGATCTATTTCTTTAATCAGTCATTTGTAAATTTGGTTCCTTTAAGAGCTCACCATCATAAAAAAAAATCAGGAGCAGAAAAGCTACCCTAAGAGCAAGGGAAAAGTGAAAGTGAAGGTAGGGATGATAGCCCTGAAAAAATTGCATCTAAATAAGCATATTGTATCCAAATCTGCAGAAACAAAGGGGAAAAGAATATAATGGGAAAGACTTTTTAAGAAACATTAATAAAAATAAACTGGGAGGGTACTGAAAAGTAGATTTAATAACTGTATCTCTGAATTCAAATATTTTATCTATATAGAGCTCACCACTCCAACTTTTCCTGAGGATGCTTCAAAGAGGACAAAGTTTTTGATAAAGAATTCAATTCTTTAAATAAATAATTTTAAATAATATTAGGAAGACTTAATTTTAAAAATCAGTATATTTTTGTCTCAGGAAGAAGGAAAGAAACTGGGAACAGCCTTGGGTTTTCAGAGTACTCTGACACAGCTCAACCTGTCAGTATCGGAAAACGCAATGCCAGTGTTGAAAGAGAATCCCTCTCTAAGCTTCAAGTTCCTCTGAAAACTAGACCAAGGCTGCAGACAGAGACATCTAATTTTAGGCACCCACTTTGAAATTCAGGTATCACATATACAGGGTCAGTGAATTCTTTAAAAATCTGTTAGATCCAAACAACACAGTACTCACATAAAGCAAAGATATAGAGGGTTTTGGCTTTAATTGCATTTAAAACAAGAATAAAACTTACTGCAACCTTGTTTGTACTTTCAAATAAAACAGATAACCTTTATTCTATCTGTGATGGCAATATTACAATGAAATGTGGGTCTGTACTTATAAGGTACCACTGAGATAACTGAGGTATTTTGAGGGCACAGCAGATGAAAGCTGTCCAGTAACACAAACTGCCAAATGCTGTATTACTGGTTTTAGATAACAGCTACTTTGCAACTCATCAGTAAGGAGTAACAATCTCTCTTGGTGTAATTATCCCTCTACTTCTGTCAGAATTGAGAACTTTGTAAATATTTGAACGTTCTTCACTGCTGAAAATTCACATAATTTTAAAATGATTGGCTAAAAAAGTAAGCAAATTCTGGTAAGTGAAAGCTTTAGGATCTAAACAAAAGAGATTCAAATTAAAAGTCCTTCGTACTGATCAAAACAAGTCAAGCAGCACACTCAGAAATATTACTGCAGTCTCAATTTTTATCAGTGAAACTGCTGACCCTGAAATGTTTCTAGCCATGCATTCTGAATGGCTTTCTAAGGGGAATAGCTAAAGTCAGCATCCTAACTATTTTTAGAGTGGAACTCAGCTAAGCTGAGGAAGAGGAATGTGTTGCCCATGATAGCTGAAGAAGAAGCTCCACTGTCCTGTCACACTGCAATTCTGGGTTCTTACTCCTCATACTGCTGTTTGTCTGTTTCAGGATATTTTTGTAGTGGGGGAAAGAAAAACTTCAGCCTTGTTTGCATTTGTTCTAACTCCAGTTCATGTTTCTCAATTATGAGTGACTGTATGCAGCACTCCAGGTAGTTCTACAGCTGTATACAACAGCACTAAGGCCCTGATGTACTGAAAATGCTTCACCACATTCATGTGAGAATCAAGTTCATCACCATGTCTTTTTTTTTTTTTTAAACCACACCTTAAAGTCATACTACATCTATTGTTTAGGGGTAATCGAGTCCTTTCTAACCGTGTTCTAACCCTCCTTTGTGCTGACAACCACTCCTAAAGAACTGGTTTGGTGCTAACAACAGAGTGCTTTGCTTCATTTTCAAAGATGAGCAGGATTACTCTTAATACTGATACTCAAGGAAACTGAATAGTAGCACTCCCCCAAAACACAACACCTTTTGTAATGTACACTACAGCCAGTTTCTTAGGCACTTGACAGCTCCTCTGCTAAGGAACACTGACCCCAGTTTAAGAAACAGCTTTCAATGCACTCCTGTCCATAGCCCTTGGCTTATGCAGAAGGAGCCCTCTACCAACAGTCATGTGGCTTCAGAAAATACAGTTCTTAACAATTCCTAATTTGACCTTCTTAATAAACCCTTGAAGATGGCAAATTCACATATACATATGTTCATAGTACCCTAAATCATCTATCATTTCAAATCACTTAATAAAAAGCACAGGTAGTCATAACTGAAATAGGGCACTACTCAAAATAGAACACCACACAAAGCTACACAGACATCTTAAGTGAAAAAAGTCAATGCTCTTTTTTTTTTTTTTTTTTTCAGAAGACTACTGTATGGGACAATATTGGAGGCAACACTGGAATACAATGTTAAATTCAAACCCTGCTGCAAGCTCTTTCCAAACCAAAAGCAGCGGTTTATGCCGTCACCCATCTCTACAATAAGAGCTGACAAAAGTCAAGGATGCTCTAAATACAGCAAATCTGGGACAAGCTATAACCCTTGTCACCCCTAAGCTCTCTGCAAGGAGTTTTTCACTGGAGTTCAAGTGAAGCTTTTCCAGGTTTGACTTGAGGAGTCAGTCAAGACACTGCAAAGAATGTACTCGACTGTCCAACCTCTGATAGGACAAGCAGAAGATACCTGTCTTCCCCTGGAGCTCTTAATTTACATTTGGGAAAGGAAGTGCTTTAGGCTTCTGCTTTGATTACACAACAGACACGCCAAGAGAGGCTGCTTCTGGAGATGCAGCACACTAAGTTCTTAGGTGTCTTGTATCCAGTTCTTCCACAGTGTCATACTTTTGGATCAGTCATCTGGTCACCCAAGTATGACCCATGTCATACTTTTGGATTTGTACCAGGCAGCTCTCAGCTCCTGTGAGAATGGAGCTGGAGATAACCTGCATGCATTTCAGTTTGTAACTGTGTGTATCTAAGGGGCTGGCAGCAACAAACACAAGTAGTAACTATCTGAGCTAATTCAAATTACGCTGTACTTACCCCACTGACAGTTACTAAAGATCAGCCAACACTGATTTGTCCTTGTGGATGATCTTAAACTCTGGCACGGATGATATTAATGCCTCATCTTCTGTGGCAAGTGCTACATTTTCATGCCAAAACTATGCTCAAAATGCATAAGCTCCTTTTTTTTCCCCTTACACACAAGATACAACCACCTCTTACAACTATCCACGCGCTTGCACATTACAAGCTGCATTTTTATGTACAGGACGATCAACAGATTCTATTTATAAAGCATGGCATTATTCCCAAACGTTGTGTGAAGAATATGGCTCTAGTTCATGAAGGAAGAAAGCACACAGGTGTGCTGTCCAGTAACTGTTCAAACACCTGTGCCCTGGCAGCATACACTCCAAAGAGCATCCTGGGCTGTATTACCTGAAGCAAAGTCAATAATCATGGGAAGTAATTATCTCTCCCCAGGCTGCATTCATCCTGCCACATGTAGTTGCTGTACCCAGTTTTGAGCATCCAATTTAGGAAATGTGTTGGTATTTGCAGCAAGGATGATCGCCAAGATGGTCAGGAGGCTGGAACACTTGCCTGGTGCAGACAGGCTGAAGGACCTCAGCGTGTTGAGCCTGAGAACAACAAGACTTCAGGAGGACCTGGTGGCAGCTTGCCAGTACCTATGAGGAGGTCATTAAGAACCCAGAGCTGAGCTCTTGACAACGCTGTCAGCAGCAGGCTGAGACCAGAG